AGTCGGTGGTCACTCTATTTTCCATAATTTGGATTTAAAAAAGAATCTGCATTTTTGAAAACATGTAAAAGAATAAGAGCTGAGATTCTAGTCGCTTCTTCTTGGTTAGAATGCACTCCGAACTGACGATCCGAACCGATATGACGTATCATAAGAGTCTGTAATAGACCTACGTAAATAAAGATATTATGACTAGATTTTAAGAGTGTATGTAGCACTACTAAATTTTTACCCTTCTACCACGTAAGTGATAAGAGTAACCTCCACAAAAGAAGTGCTTATATTTTGGACAATTTTTTTTTAATAATGTAGCATTAAAAATAGTTAAACTCTTGAATTTTCATCCTTCTCCCATCAATTTCTATTTTTTTATATCGATTTTAATTTATACAAAACAACGTTTGCGGGGTCAGCTAGTAAGATATGATTCTATCTTATTTTCAAGACTTTCATTACATCTAACTATTATTTAAACGTAGTATGTGAATAATGTAAAGCAACGGAATATATAATGCGTCATTTCCTTTGAATTTTCCACATTGAACTGCAGTTACGGTATTTTGTCGACAGATGGCGTCCAAAGTCGTAAGTTAAGTCTATTTGGCTCGGCAACTTACTTTGCGGACGAAATTTGGTCCCTTTACTTTCATTCGGGTCTTGTAATATACTCGTAGTGGATATTGCACGGACTTGAATTCCGTACATTTCTATTTCAATTATGGAATGTCTGGAATGAATTTTGAATAGGAATCTCATTCGATGTTCTCTACTTTTAATATTAGTGTCCTTCTCTGATGTCCTATGTTATTTGCTGATAGCGCAGATTTCTATGGGTGAGTGAATTTAATAAATCGGTCAACAATTTTTGTGAGAATTTTCATTACGAACAAAAAATCGAAAATTTTAATATTAATTAGAATTCAGTGTTCGACCCTATTTTATCTTCCGTTTAGATGTTTAGTCGTAAAAGGTAATGACATACACACTTACGTATTTTTAACATCTGTTTATCATTTTCGCGTATTTTGATTTTATTGTAATTTCTATTACCTTATGTTTATGTTACTTTATGTTTAAAACTATTAAGTTTTAACATAAACATAAGGTTATAGAAGAATCCATTAGGATTCTAGATATGGGGATTAATAAATATGTCTTAAAAAGTAGGCTTTTTGGCAACTGAAGTAGGTTTTGTTTTCAAAATATTTCAATGCTGTTGGCTGTAGCTGGCTTTTACAGCTTCACCGAACGAGGCGAGTACACATGCTGGACGGGAGATCGATCGGAGGGGGGAAATAGTTGAGACAGGGGTACTTATGTAGATACTTTCTATGAAATATAGTAAGATAAAAATCTGCTACTAAAATAAAAAAAATGTAATAGCTATTCATAATAAAACACTATATATAGTATCCGTTAAATAAGGAATCCTATATTTAGAAATGACCAATAAAACGTCAATTAAGCCAAATGATACTGCATCTTAAAGTGATCAACCAATGGAAATATACCTTATGTATAGAAAAACGTGCCGACATATTGAAATTAATTAAAGGCTGCACAGATGAATGAAAATTTTCAGAATGGCGGCATGAATATGACAATGGCCTATGAAAGTGAGGGAACAAAAGCTTTTGATAATTGAAATCTCGCACGTACGGAATCCTAATTAATTTAGTGCATTTTTTAATGTCCAAATGATATATTACAAACTAGCTGTTCCCAAGACTTCGTCCGAATTTCACTTTTCTAAAATATAAGTAGCCTAAGTTACTCCTTATTACATCAGCAACCTGCCAAAAAAAGACCCGTCATAATCGGTCCAACCATTTGACAGATTAGAATAAACAGACAAACAGGCAGACATAAATTGTAAAAAATGTTATTTTGGTGTATGTACCGTTTTTATATTCATGTGCATGTAGTAAAAAACGGTTATTTCAATATTACAAACAGACACTCCAATTTTATTTATATGTATAGATTTAAATAATATATATGATGATTGGTATTTGTTTTTAATCGAATTAGGTGTTATATTACGGAATTCCGAAAGTTAACTACTTTATGGATGCTAATTGTAGCGGAATTAAACAAAATAATATAAATCGATCAATTTTGGTTGGTATATTTTTATTACCTACCCACGAACTACTAAAGTACAGCAAAAATATAGACCTTCAACTATATATTTTTTTAATAGATGATAATAGAACGGTGCAACTGTCTGCGCTAATAGCCTACGCTAACGGGGCACAAATGGGGGATGATAAGATGAGATCAGGTCAGTAATCCCATCATGTCATATTCATGGTCCTGGATAGTCATGGTTCATTGATAATAAAATCGCACAATAAGCACACACCTGTTATCGTAATCCAAATAAACTTGATATATAATTTCATTACGATCCTTCAGACGTTTAGCTAACAAAAATGTAAGAAACATATAGACATCCTTTTGCATTCATAAATAGATATTGACGGATGTCAGCGATTCGTCTACGTAGGGTTAGCTTAAAGACTACACGAATATTATCCTTATATCATAGATAGTAATCTATCTTTATACCAAAATTCATTAAACTTGGTTCTGCAGCTTAGTCGTAAAGCTCAACCGCGGAATCAATAGCACGCGGATGGTTGAATACTTTCCTATCTGACAATGAAATAGTGAGTACAGTCGATAGAGAAAACATCTTAGAACATAGTAGTATTGTTTGGGAAACTACTCTGCTACCAAAAAGTTAGGGAATTTAGTGTGTAAGCGTCAGTCACGTACCTGTATGGTTCTGCGGATTTCTTGGGCTTCAGGGTCTCGAAGGTATCTTCGCTAGCTTTCCAGTTTCACAGTAGGTTTCACAGTTCTAATTTATTTTAATTCACAACAAATGCGCGCGCGTCATGGCCGCCGTAATACTGGTTAGGGAGGGGAAGGGAACGCGCGGGAACAGAAAACTAACGGACTCTAATATAATATAATATCTGTGTTTACGATGATACAGGGTAGATTTTGAACAGTTACATATAACTTTTTTATATCCATAAGTAGAGCAAAAGGTTCAGTGAGAAGCAAATTAGCAAGTATATACAAAAAATATGTTTAACATTATAGTAAAATGAAAAGACTTATGTACAAAGAAAATAATTGTACACAAAGTTCCGATCTGAGATAATAATATGAACCAAACGAAAGTCAAAGACTAACAGTCATTAAAAGAAGTAAAGACAACTAAATTATTGAGAATTTATGTAGTGAGACAAAATGAATCGTGTTTATTAATTAAAAACAAATTTATTAATCCCATTAAATCTAAAGTCATTTATTCGTGTAGGACATTTTATCCGCATATGAACGTAATTTTTTTTGTATTCATATTTTTTCCCAACCATATATAGATTCGAATTGAGAAGAACTGACAAGAAACTCAATTGTTTTTTAATAGATATTTGATTTACATTGTGTACTTATGTAGGTGTCTAATTATTATTATTAAATAATGCATTATAATAAGAAACGAATGCCCTATACTATACCTATATATAAAATCTGACATTGCAATTCATGAAGATCCCCAGTTTCAATTCTATTATTCTTATAAATCCAATTCACCGGTCCTAATCCCTAACCACGTTACCTCTTTTTGAAGTCCGGATTCAGCGATTTTTGTTCAATAGATATCCATTTCGAATATTACTTTCGCATTATTCAGATTAGCTGGCAGTCATAAAAAATGCATGAGCCCATTTTGTGGACTCGCTTCGCTTGTTGGGTGTAAGTTTTTTTGGTTTTGCTTTTACAAATTATGCAATTGTTGCTTATTTTGATTACGTAGTCATAGGCTAAAAATACAATCCATAAATTACGTCAGACCTTAGGAAGGGGTTTAACAAAGTGTGATATTGTATAATAAGGCATTGGAGGAGTCACAATGTTCTAATAAAATCATGACATCTAGGAGCCTTACTAACTCCCTAGGAGGGGTTTTTAGATTTTGTGACATATAGTATTAAAACACAAAACTATTATAATGTTGTAAGGATGAACGTATTTAGTAATTATAGAAGCATTGATTATTATAATAAACGAAACAATATACACTCAAATGTCGTATTTATCACTTGCCTAACAAGGACCACCCTTATATGGCGACCCTGCCAATGGACCAATAATGTGACCAACAGTGGCAGACAGGTTGGTAGGAGGAATTAAAATTGTCATAGTTTATTAATGTCCTTGTCAAGGCTCTAAGGGATCTTCAATGAAATGGATTGCGAATTTATAAATTAATCGAATAAGAGAGTGATGTGACGTGATGGCATTGATGACATGCGCAATACATTATATTTAAACATACAGTCCATTTCATTGAATATCTTTTAGGGCTTTGACAGTCCTCTTAAGTGTTGATTCGTTCAATAATTAGTATTTTTAACTCTTTGCTTCTCATCCGATTAAGCGCGATTTACATATCTGTATACAATATACATATCAGAAAGTAGACGTTGTTATTTGAATCACCGACACCCGGTACGTTGAGAGGGCGGTTGTTTTAATAGGGGCTAGTATATCCAAAACGTCAGGTCGACGAACCTTGACGTCATGCTCATCCTATCATCCTTCACTGATGCCTTGCCATATTTACATATATATAATAATAATATAATATAATATATAAAAGTAGATTTCTGGATACAATTCTAAGCGAAAGGGGAGAGGGGATTATGAGTAATGATGGCCAATGACCTCATTGCTAGCTAACTGACCTGACCTCATGTTCATCTTATTATTTTCCACTGGTGTACTGCCAGAGTAAACCGTGAGTGAAAACGGATGCACCATTCACTTAACACCCATTAAAACAAAACATTTTAAGCCTGGAACAGAGTAAAACTGTAAATTACCAAACTAAAAAATATGTACGTTGTATATTTCAATTGTCCGTTAGAAAAATTCGCTGTATGTTCTCTGAAAGTAACATCCCTTTGTCTTTATTTCAGATTGGCAATTTGAAGCATTTTTTCTTATTGTCACACCCGCATGTCAGCAAGCGTTCAACAAACTCGAGTATAGAACACGAGAATAGACTGAAAAATGATCCCCAGGTATGTAACATTTATACAGAAAGTTTGGGTACTAGATTCCCACAAATCTACAACATACAAGTATAGTTAGTTGTTTTATAGTGCTGACAAGGACGGGCTTATATCACCAAGTTACCCTCACCGACAACCTTTAGTTAGTCGGTGAAGATATGACAAAAAGAGTAGATGGAGCATACAAAAACTCAACTATATAGTATATATATAAATAAGTACATATTGCTGTATGTGTATATATAAACCTAATAATACACATATAAATGGAAAAAAAAATTAAGAAAATTACCACTGTTGTCTCATTTTATTATTATTATTTAGCTACAAGCATTGTTATAACAATTATTGTTACAGTAACAATATTATTACAATTGTTACAGAAGAGTTCCCTTAAAAGTGTGAAATATTGAAATAGGACATATAAAAAAAATATTGTCAGTAATTATTACATTCTGAAGGCATATTCGTGTTACGAATTTCTTTTTAGCACGAATTTTTCTCCAGAAGAAAGTAATTATTTTTGGCCCATTTAACCGAACCTCGCGTTCACATCTCACAAGTTAGCAGATACATTTTCTGGTTTCCCCATCTCCCAAATATATAAAAATCCCTCGAACAATAACATAATAATTATGTATTTGAGAATTCACAAAAATGTTACAAACAGTTTGAGTACAGAATTTTCCAGAACTTTCTAGAAGAGTTTACGAATGGTATGTACCGATACTTGTACAAATCAATAACACCTATCATATCATTATCATTTAATTGTACTGATATTGCCGTCCATTGCTCTTAAACACAAGCAGAGCATACCGCTATGATCCCAGATGTGTTGTGGTGAACGCAACACTTGACATGCCCACATTTCGCTCGGAATAATATAATATTCTAGGACTGAAAAGTATTCTAAGCAGAACTATGAGTACTAGATATCTGATATAAATACATGCATACTGTTTTTTTTTATAAATAAATACATATTATACATAGAAAACACCCAGACCGATACAAACAATCGTACTCAACAAATACTTGTGTCGTGCGAGGAATCGAATTAGCGATGAGGAAGTAAGGCGGTGTGCGATACTGCTAGACCACCAAAAGTGATTTCATGATAATGAAATTTTATGTAACCAATATATATTTTATTTTAATCTATACTAATATTACAAAGAGGAAAAGTTTGAGATTGTAGGGGGTCTCTCTGGATCTAGTGAATCGATTGCGAAAATTATTTTAGTGTTACGTAGCCCAATTAAAGAGAAATATGATAGGCTCTATAACATCACGCCCATAGGAGTCGAGCTGTAATGGCAAATGTTGCAAAATCGGGTACAGTGTGACACAGCAAAGTTGCACGTGTCAGTTTTTAAAATATATATATTATATTTTTTAATATATAATATTTTTTTTCTTATATCTTGTTTTTAGTTAAAATATGCAATCGTAAAGTACATGCAGGTGCATTACGTGTACTATTTTCATATCGTATAATATGAAATGTTAGTGTGAACATATCTTCATCTTGAGTAGTTGGCGCCGTAGTAAACAGTTATGATGTTAGAGTTAAGTCCATCTCGAGTGGTCGTAAACTGAGCAAAATAAAACTTTACACAGTATATATATGTATAAGTTTGTACTTACATCTGAAGTTTGCACTTACTATCTTAAGTATTTAGGACTGCAACATATTTCGAGCTGAATTTAGAAAGCAAGAGGTTTTAAATTCGACTGTACTTTTTGTTTGACTGACAGAATTAAATTATTGAACTAGTTAACTTCTGATTGTGTTGTATTATAATAATATTAATATTTATTACTGGCTGTTCCCGCGACTACGTCCGCGTGGAATTTAACTTTATTTTTCTAAAATAAAAGTAGCCTGAGTTACTCATTATGTCATCAGCTACCAATCAAAAAAAGTTCCGTCAAAATCGGTCCTACCATTTCAGTGATTAGTCGGAACAAACAGACAGACAGACAAAAATTGTAAAGGATGTTATTTTGGTGTATGTACCCTATTTATATTCATATACATGTATTAAAAACGGTTATTTCAATATTACAAACAGACACTTTAATTTTATTTACGAGTATATGTATAGATTAAATATATAATAAATAATAATAATATATATATTTATTATTACAATAATATTAATATACTATATATGGATACATTTTTTATGAGAGATTGTTTTTGTAGATAGAATAAAATAGAAAATTCTTTATTCAAATAAACTTAAATTTAAGCACTTTTGAATAGTCATAATTTTTTTGTCCACCGCTCCTTTGGAAAGCTTTTTCTTCACAAGAAGAATGAGCAAGAAACTTGCGTATTGGTCTTTTAATGCAAATATGTGAATATAAACTAATACTAATTCATTAAAGTCAACATATCAAATACACAATCAATTAACAAATAACTACAATGCTGCTTATTCAAAATGTTCTTTCTGATTTACTTTCTTGTGAGGAATGAAGAACTATGTTATGAATTATAATTTATTTACATGTACGATTAAACATAAAATGAAAAAATATATGAAGAATAGAATAAAAAATTTAAAAGTAGTTCTAAGGTATATTATATATTATAATTAATTATTATATAATTATAATTTTATATAATAGTGAATTCACTATTAATAATACTCATAATATAAATAATACTATAATAATACTCATAAAATAATCAGTACCTAATTTGTATAAAATGTAAAATACCTTAGAATTATTTTAAATTGTTTATTCTATTCTTCATATATATTTTCATTATATATTTAATCGTACATGTAAATAAATTATAATTCATATATTTTTTTAATAAGCATATAGTATTTGTTAATTGATTGTGTATTATTTAAATTATATAAATCATTTAAAAGCATTTAAGTTGTTTAGTATTATTTAAATTATATAAATCATTTAAGCATTTAAGTTGCTAAGTAAGTGCCAAAAAGCCACAATGAAAATGTCCTCCACGACGTACATTGAAATTCTCTAGAAACAAGGCCCTAATGATTGACGAGACCGAAGGCTTATCGAATTATTCATCGGTGCCCTTAAAGTTATCGTGCTTGGGATCTTGAGTTACACTAAATATTATAGTACTGGCTTTATTCCGCGGAGTTAATCGCATGAATTCGGGTAAATAGAATCCAATATCCTCTATGACGGCCTCGGTGGTCTAGCGGTTTAGCACCGCTTTACTTCCAATGGTCACGGGTTTGATTCATCGCTCGGTGCAAATATTTATATTCATGAGTATGATCGTTTGTATCGCTCTGTGTGTTTTCTATATTATGTATGTATTTACAAAGAAATTATCTAAGTATGTATATTAGTTGTCTAGTACCCATAACACAAGCTCTGCTTACTGTGGGACTAGATGGAGCTGTGTTAATTGTCCAGGGTTATTTATTATATAGATATTATTATTAATGTCCACCCAACAATCACATATCATTAAAATTCTTTAATAATCGTGAAAAGGTGTCATACAGATAGGTACACATTTTTTTAACTATTCTAATGTTGTTGGCCGCTGCTGGCCTTTACAAACGAATCGAACCGAACCATAGGGGGCGAGTGCAGATGGCACTTGAAACCCATGGAAGGTGTTATGGAGCGGCTAAAGTCCACACCCGCCTGACGGATACGATTTTAGTCAAGGGCACCGCTAGGGATTCGACCCTCGGCTCAGGCTGTGGTAATTTCGATCTCCGTTTGAATTGGGCAGGGGATCTATGCAGGTCCCAGTGCTACAGATCCAAGTACGTGACAATAGCCCAAAACCCCCAATAAAAAATGGAACATAAATATATATATGTACATAAATATATGTATTGATATATATAACAAAATATAAACATACACATATTGAATAGTGCACAGATCTTATGTAATATCTGATTTGCCAGGTGAGATGGGTAATGCAGCAGAGGGAGTTGAGAAGAACAAAACGGGACCACCAGAAACCACGTCACGTGATGAGGCAAACCAGTGCCCCAGCCTTCCCAGACCCACTATTCAAGGAACAGTGGTATTTGGTGAGTGATTTAATTTTTAATGCTATATGAATGGCAAACTGGGTCAAGGATCATCGAAAAAAGTCATAATTTTGACTTACATGCATGAATAATACCATGGATATCATAATCATTACTTTAAAGCACGTCTTAATGCGTTGTCGTAACAGAGCGTCACGCATCCTTATTCTGTGATTTCAGTGCCATAGATTACACAAATCAAAACATACCTTCAACTATAGTTTTATTAGTTTTTAGTTACGAGTTTTTAATCTATTTATATTGCGTAATGATTTTGCCAGTAAAATTATTTATTCGCACATAAAACAAGGGAATGCATTCTTTTTAATAGATCATAATGGAATGTTGCATTAATCTGCACTAACTGTATACTTTGGCAGGGTATTAGTGGTAGATGATAGGACGATCATGAAGTCAGATCAGTTTGCCCATCGTGGCGAATTCATAAAGACTTAACTAAGAGATGTCTTTAAATATATTTCAAAAGACGTCGGTATGACTTTTACTATTTATCACTTCAATATTATAATACAAAATATTTAATTAAATCAACCAATAAAAAATTATAACTGGCAAACTGCCCTGTTCCGTACTAAAGGTTTTCATAACGCTTGCAGCATTTCTGCGCTGAATTTGCCAGAGAAATCATTTAATAGCTTTAATTTGTATCAATTTTATAATTATTAAATGAAGAAAAAATGACAAAGAGTTTGTTTCCAAAAAAGATCACATGAAATTCGATCGGACATATTGCTAGCAAATGCTCCGCCGAAACAATTGACAAGTATTGTACAAAGTAATTGTACGTAATTATGAAGTTGAGGGACTATCAGATGTCGCCTAAAATAATATATTACATGTTCATTGACTGAATACAAAGTACTCTCATAGCGAACAAGCGAATGAACTTTTAAGCTGGCTAAAAGAATAAAGTAAACGGCTGAAGTAATTCGGGGCAAGATTTATTGTACAAAAGTATTGGTTCCATTCTGAACTATAAACGAAAAATAGTTTCATTAAATTGGTCTATTTAAATTATTTATTTATTTTACTAAATTTTACGTATATATAAAAGTTTCGTTTAGTGTTTAGTACACACCTTAATATAGATTACTATGTATGTTATAAGACCACTACGTATGATACGCGTACTAATGTATTAAAAATACTAGCTGTGCCCGTGACTTCGTCCGCATATTATAGTAACCAAGAAGTTGATCAAATAAAGAAAAAATATTCAATAATCTTACCCAAAAAGGCAAAAAAAGTTTCATGAACAATCAAACTTCTTTTGCCTTTTTGGGTAAGAAGTAGGTAGTTATAAATATGATGTTTTTCCATATAAACTTTCATCCCCGTAGACAATACTTCATTATAAATTTTCCCTATCAACCTCTTACAACCCGACCAAGGGTCACGTTAAAAAGTAGCCAATGTCTTTTCCTAGAGTCTAGACTTTCTGTAAAATTTAATTTAAATTGATTCTGGAGTTTTGCTGTGAAAGTGCGACAGACAGACATAGTTACTTTCGCATTTATGACATTAGTAGGACTAGTACGCATAAAAGTTTATAAAATAAAGATTGAATTGAATTACTTTTTTACTATTTTAAACATGTTAATGACAAATTTATTGTCACTTTTTCACTGTTACTAGTAAATAGTTATAAATAAATGTTAATAATAGCACAGATAACATAATATAATAGTAAAGTTTTAATATTACAATTTGGTGTGTGAATAAATGGACAGTTACACTGGTAGGGGTTGCCCTAGAAAGACGTACTTCGGTCGGTGACGTATTGAAAAAGTTAACAGTAATCGACGGGTTGTATGAATACGTTGATGAATGTAGAGAAAGCAAAAGAGGTCTATTTCAAAACAAGTTCAAACAAACCTTTTGGAACAATGGAAAATCAAATTCTGCGGCATTTGGCAGTATTATGAGTACTGAAATAATTGTACTTTTACAATTATCTTAATCTTTTACAATTATATTAATTGCTATTACAATTATCTTTTATAACTTTTACTATAATTATATAAATTAAAATAAATGTCGATTATTGTTTCTTTTTTTGAATATTTTAATTTTATATCCATATTTCTTTTTGCTTATGTACACGAGACTGAATTGGGTATTACATTTAAGAAATGTAAACAGGGTTATATAAGAAATATATAAGCCATGTATACACAGTTGAAATATTTTAATTGGCTACTCAGTATCGTACTATTTACTCAGTATTAAAACATTTAACAAAGTACCCATAACATTATGTTAATTAAACGTGACAATTGGAATAGAGCACAGAGTAACAATTTAAAAAATTATACATTCGCAACTTTTAAAAAGATAAATTGTGTAAGTTTCTTTGGAATTCTCGATTTTACACAAAGTAATTCGAAGAACAAAGAATAAAATATTAATTATTTGAGATCAATGCAGAGAAAAGAGACGTGACATGTTTTGAAATATCCAATTAAACATAAAAGAAAGTTTTGTTAAATTAAAGAAAAGTCACTCAGTGCCTGTAACTTTAAGCGAAGCCTTTGTGAAATTTGAAAAGTTAAAATCAGACAATTGTAGCTCGTCAAGCGCAGTGTAACTTGAGTTTTATTTTTTATATTCCTATGCGATAAATTTGCCTTTTGAAACAGCCAAGTCCAGAAGGCTTTACAACTCTTACTGCAAACTTAATCTACGAATTCGCTGATATACAATTATAAACTGAAAAGAATTTGATTGTAAGAACGTCTTAATTTCTGAAACTACCACTTACATTTAAAGAAAACTCACAAATATTTTTTATATCAACTATTTAGGATAAAATTATTTAACATACAAAAATAAGTTTAACTTAGGAAAAATGACACGTTGTGTTGTCGAGAGTCCACGACTTCTTTTAAATTTGTATACAAAAAATTTAAATGATTTACGTATAATTAACTGTAATCCGCGGATTTATCCACTATTTTATGTAAAATTAGCTATTCCCGCGACTTCGTCCGCGTGGAATTTAACTTTTTTTTTTGTGAAATTAAAGAATTTTCCAGCCATTATTGCCATTTCAGAGATTAGCCGGAACAAACAGATAGACAAAATTAGTAAAAAATGTTATTTTGGTGTATGTACCGTATTTATATTCATATGCACGTAGTGAAAAACGGTTATTTCAATATTACAAACAGATACTCTAATTTTATTTACATGTATAGATAAATATTAGTTTTTATGGATGGAATTTTGCACCCGCCAGCACTCCCTGTTTATGCTGGCGAGTCAACTGTGGAGGTTAATAGGATAAGTATGAGGTCAATTCAAATAGTTAATCGTGGCAAATTTACGAGGAATTATTCACGACGATTTCAAAGGGGAGCCGCAAGGAGGTCAACCTGACATGGTACATTGCTAGCAATGGAGTTATTAGTCCATATCACTAATCATCCCTTTCCACCGCTTTGTACAGTTTACGGTCTTAAACTAATTATCGCATACTCGTTAAACATAAGTAGGTTTCAACTCCATACGTATTTATAACATGGAATGGTAATAACAATTTAAATTTATTTTCTTCATTACGGACGTTATAATTTTATTATTAGGGCAATAAAATACGGACGGAATGGAATTTTAAGTCTTATAAAAGGACCTAATTAGATATACTAAACTATTTAACGTTAATGAAGTGGCAGTTAAAACTAAAGGTAAAATTAACAAGTGTTAATTAAGTGTGTGTGTTAGAAATTTAATACTAAATGAATATGTGACGTCTTAGAACGTGACAGACCTCATATATGTCTGTACTACTTACACAGTTTAGTCTTGTAATCTATGAAGTTGTCTCTGTACAGTAAAAAGTTTTTGGTAATGCCGGAAACGAATGTTTTTGACAATTGATCGTATCTTTGAAGGTATTTTGTGTGTTGTATTGTAATAAAAAAAATAGTAATCTTTGTTTTTATTGATTAAACTGTGTTTGTGAGTTTGGTTTATCTTATTGTATATAAAATTTATTGAAACTGCTTGACCGATTTTTATTAAATTTTATATGCATATTCAGTAGGTCTGAGAATCGAATACTATCTATTTTTCATACCCTGAGTGATAAACGTTATCCACCCCATTTAGTTCAACATTTAGTTCTTTTTTTATAGACTTTATTTATAAGGTGGCCTTAGTAATAAAACTCTAAATTTTCACCCTTCTACCACCAACCCCTATTTTTTAAAAACGACATCAGTACCTAAATTTATATGCCAAAAATGTTTGCCGGTACAGCTAGTATTTATATAATTAGTTAATTAGGCACAGTATATTGTAGGTCTAGTGTAGTGTAGGTATCATCATGATTATTGTGTGTTACTGATATTTTGTATTGAAAATACATACGTGATAAAGAAGGTAGAAAAATTTGAAATATAATTTTTATGTTAGTTGTGATATTCATATTAATATTAAACTTTTTTTGTAGAATGGTGGTGCGGCAGATGGACTGGACATGAATGTAGGTTACGCATGGAGGAAAGGATATACAGGGAAAGGAGTAGTTATCACTATCTTAGATGATGGAATACAGCCGAATCATCCAGACTTATCGCAAAATTATGTAAGTAATATATAGATGTAATTATTAGTAAAATTTTAATAATTAATTATAATTAATATCGATGAATAAATTAAAGGATGAATTCTAGTTGAGTTAATTAACTTTTATAGCATTACTATTTCTTGTTTTAATGAAATACAGGAAGTATAATCATTTCATTTCCACATTCACATTTGAAATGTGAATACAGCTTATAAGAACGAACTCAGCAATAAATTGCTATTGTAGGATCCTGCCGCATCGACAGACATAAATGGGAACGATACGGATCCGACTCCGCAGGACAATGGCGACAATAAACACGGCACCCGGTGTGCCGGGGAGGTCGCTGCGGTCGCTTACAATAGATATTGTGGCGTTGGTATAGCGTATAATGCTAGCATCGGTGGCGTCAGGATGTTAGACGGCCTCGTTAACGACGCAGTGGAAGCACAAGCACTCGGTTTCAACACCCATCACATAGATATTTATAGTGCTTCCTGGGGACCGGAGGATGACGGCAAAACTGTCGACGGCCCAGGCCCCTTAGCTAGAAGGTATTGTCTAATTGTTTGCGATTGTAAGAGACGGCTAGAGGCAAGCTCATTAAAAAGTGTTTTGTTTCAGGGCCTTCATAAATGGAGTAACAAATGGTAGGGGCGGCAAAGGTTCTATTTTTATATGGGCATCGGGCAACGGTGGAAGGCATACGGACTCGTGTAATTGCGACGGATATGCTAATAGTATATTTACGATATCTATATCGAGCGCCACGCAAGGCGGCTATAAACCTTGGTATTTAGAGGAGTGTTCGTCGACCTTAGCTTCGACTTATAGCTCGGGGACTCCTGGTAGGGACAAAAGTGTAGCTACAGTTGACATGGACGTACAATTACGACCTGACCATATATGCACAGTCGATCATACAGGTACGTCGGCATCGGCCCCATTGGCAGCGGGAATATGTGCTCTCGCTTTAGAAGCTAATCCTTTATTAACCTGGAGGGACATACAACACCTCGTAGTAATGACATCGCGATCTCAACCTCTAGAAAAAGAAGAGGGATGGATAGTGAATGGTGTAAAAAGAAAAGTGAGTCATAAATTCGGTTATGGCCTAATGGATGCAGCCCAAATGGTTACTTTAGCAGAACAGTGGTCGACTGTACCTCCTCAACATATTTGTAAGTCACAGGAAATAAGTGAGGATAAGTCGATCGAAACTTCCTTTGGTTACACTATATCGGTTCACATGGATGTAAATGGCTGCGGTGGTACAATGAACGAAGTTAGATATTTGGAACATGTTCAGTGTAAAATTTCACTAAGCTTTTTCCCAAGAGGTAATTTACGGATACTGCTTACATCGCCAATGGGAACTACGTCCACCCTTTTATTTGAAAGGACGCATGACGCAACGAGCTCTAACTTTGATGATTGGCCGTTTTTGAGCGTTCATTTCTGGGGTGAAAACGCCGAAGGGCGATGGACGCTTCAGATAATAAACGCCGGAAATAATCACGTGACTCAAGCGGGAGTACTAAAAAAGTGGCAGTTAATATTTTACGGCACTGCTACAAATCCCATACGGTTACGCAATAAAGGCTATTTCAACTCTAACAATGTTTACCTGGAGGAAAAAACATACCATATAAATGATGTTTACGACGCGTCAGAATATTCACAATTTCTGAACGAAATCGAGCTCGGTATTTCCGATAGGCGTAGTTATCCGAAAAATATTCCTTCGGCACAGCGAAAAAATGTGCTAGCGGATGCCAATGATAAACAAGTACAAAGATTATGTGACCCGGAATGTGATTCACAGGGTTGTTACGGTAAAGGACCGACCCAATGTGTTGCTTGTAAACACTATCGATTGGACAACTCTTGTGTTTCAAGATGCCCACCTAGGAGCTTTGTTAATCAAGGCGGTGTTTGTTGGCCGTGTCATGAATCTTGTGAAACTTGTGCCGGGGCTGGTCAAGATTCCTGTCTAACGTGCGCTCCTGCACACTTATTGGTTATCGATTTAGCTGTATGTTTACAACAATGTCCCGATGGATATTATGAAGATCCAGATGCCAATGCCTGTTTTCCATGTGCAGAACACTGTGACACGTGTTCAGAAAAGGCCGATATGTGTTCCTCTTGTATTCATAACTATGTTCTCTATAATGGATCCTGTTTAGCTGCTTGCCCACCAGGCACATATCAAAAAGATGACTTTGGTTGTATGTCATGCCATGAAACATGTGAGTCTTGCCATGGACCAAGTGAAATAGACTGTGTATCATGCCGAATAGGCGATTATTCATATAAAAATAGCTGTATCCCGAAATGTCCTATAGGATTTTATGCGGATGCACAAAGAAGGGAATGTCTATCGTAAGTATGTTTAATGTATGTTTAATTTACTACATAAATGTTTATTTAATTCTGTGAGATGAAAATGCTATCTTCATGTTGTTTTAGGTGTCCTATCGGATGTTCAATTTGCACGTGTGCCATTTGTTCCGTTTGCCAAGAGAAATGGATTCTTACTAAAGGAGGAAATTGTCTTCCGGATGGCAATGACAAATGCGACACCAGTGAGTAATCTTCAGTAAACAATGATTCGTCCTCGGGCTTTATTGAAATTCTCAATTTGTTTTTTATTTATAGGCGAATATTACGAGGGCGGTCGTTGCAAGAATTGTCATTCGACTTGCGAGAAATGTAGCGGATCAAATGAGTGGGACTGTTTGTCTTGTTCAAGTCCATTGTTATTACAAGGATCTAGGTAATGGCTCTTTATTATGATGGTTATTTTCTTGGAATAGCAAACAAGGGAATTACAATAAAAATAATAATTCTTTTTAGATGTGTTGCGGAGTGTAATCAAGGATACTATCAAACTGCTGGACGTTGTTCGCAATGTCCGCACACCTGTTCCACGTGTGTGTCCAGATTGAACTGCACATCGTGTGCCGGTGCCTTACGTTTACAGTCTGGGACATGCCGAGCGACATGTGCACCCGGATATTACCCTGATGATGGAACGTGTTCTAAGTGTTACTTATCATGTGAGACTTGTACGGGACCTAGACGCGATCAGTGTGCGTCGTGCCCGCCAGATTGGAGGTTAGCCGCTGGGGAATGCAGACCAGAGTGTCCACAGAATTTCTTCCCATGGGAGGACAGTTGTCGTCGCTGTCACCATTACTGTCAGGACTGTCACGGTGCTGGTCCTCAGCGTTGCACGTCATGTCCACCTCACTTCTCCTTAGAAGGTGGACTGTGTGTTGAGTGCCTTAGCTCGCAGTATTATGAGCCTAGGACGAGGACATGTCGTCCTTGCCATGACTCTTGTAGGTCCTGCTCTGGGCCTGGACCTACTAATTGTGTGACGTGTGCTCATCCCCTTCGTTTAGATAGGTAAGTTGTAAATAACAAATATTCTTTATTCACTCAAAACATTCGCAAGTGGATTTTAATACATGTATATTTTCTTCTACGACACGAAGATTGACGAGATTGAAGTTGCTCTTACATGAACCGAAACGAAGCAATAGTAAAAGAATTTAATAATCTTTTCGTTTATAGAAACGTAGGTACATAACTATGAATAATAATATGAATTTCTATTTCAGGATGAATTATAAATGTCTACCGTGTTGTACAGAGAGTATGTTCTCGTTCTATTTGAGTACGAATCAAACAACAGACTGTTGCCATTGTGATAAAGATATCGGTAAGTCTTTTCAAATTTCACACGTGTAAGTATAAAATAAACCTTATTGTTATGACATACATAACAATAAGGTTTATTTTATACTTACATGTATCAGAATTTTTTTTGCTTTTATGTCGATGTAAAGTGGCAACCGTTGCTTATATAGTGTAGTGATATCATAGCCATGGTATCCCTAATACATTGTAATTCATTACAGGTCCAATATAAATCCTCCATATATAGTAATTGAATTTCCATATCCTAGCTATAATTGTTTTCCTTTGATTCACAACTTTTACAAATAAATAAATACTGTCATGCCGTTGAACAAGTTAAGACTACTTAAGATGTTTCAATAGAGTTGAAGTGATTTTATTCTGAAATATGTTGTCACAATCTATTTACAAACGACAAAAATATTATAGGTACTGACTTACGTAAGCTAATGTAGTTTAAGTTCAAAAGTATTTATCTATAAATAAAAATATTTCCCAAAGAATACTATTTGTAAAAGTAATCAAAAGATTCAGTCTACTTGAAATAATTAGATAACAATGTTATGCCTTCTGAAATTAAAATGAACCAATTTTTCTTATTTATTGTATTACACGGACAGAAGAAATAATGAAGAAAGAGCGCGTCTTTCAAGACCTTATTGTTTTCAGTTCATACTAAGGCAAATATTTTACTTGTAAATAATCATTATATATATTTATAAAAACAGAATTATTGAATATTATTGTTCAAATTTATTTTGTTTTGTTTAGTACTATAGAGTGCATAGTTTCACTGGCTGTTACAGTACCATAACAGGTTTATTTAAAAAAAATGTTCACGTGCTATTTCGGTAACGCACAGTATATCCGTATCTCCACAGATACTATACACTACATAATACTCGTTACAATTTACATATGAAACAATTTGTCTATGGTAATTTTAATTCTAAATTAAATATATGCAATAGCTAGCAGTGAACATATTGTTTATGTTAATAATTTCATATAAAAAACACGAGTCTACAGTGATTAAACTTAAGAGGACGAATAAAAACAAAAAACAGCTTACCTAAATACGTTGTTTAGCGAAATATTGCAAGTAGGCGTAGTTGACGCAGACGTATTCCATTCTCTCATCAAACACTTACAATGTTCACGATCTTTGTGTTCACAACGAATTTCCCACTCCCATTCCACTCGGAAGTTATTCCATCCCGACAAACATATTTAAATGCTTTTGTTTGCAACCTTGCTCCTATTAATGATAAGGGGCGATTTTAACAACATACGAGCTCTGGCCGAACCTTAAGACTGGTGAAAAAATGTTGTAACATACACATTTACAACATATACGTTTATATTATATTATAAACGGAATGTGGTACATCTATCGTGTTTTTTCACAGGGGGCTGTCTAAACGGTTCGTCGGCGGGAAAACGTCGCATCGCCGAAAACATTCGCACTCACATAACAGCGTCGTTTTTTGTAGACGACGCTACCGACTCTTCAAATATCTTGGACCGTAATTTGTTGGCGGTGTGGAGTGTCGGCTCCACTATACTCGCTGTCATTGCTATAGCTATTGTGATAAAGGTATTTTATTCTACTGTTTATGTGTTATATTTTTTGTTTTGTAACATTTTAATATAAATATAATACAAATAATACTGATGGAGATTATACAGGGGATAATTAACAGCAGCAAATACATTTAATTTAATATTTTATTGCTTCCAAATGTACATTATAATCTCAATCTTAAATGTGTATATGTATTAACTGTACTTCATTTATCATGATTTTTAATATATTTTATTCCACCAATGTGCTCGTAACACCCCTATGTTTCAGGCATCCATACATTACCGTATCCGTTTACCATCAGGGCCGTCCGCTTGTTTGCCCCCATACGGGTATAAAACAATATATAAAAAGACGCGGAAGAGTAAATAGTAGTAGCAATAATATAAATTAAAATTACTTTATAACACTAATTACTAACTAAAATTGGGCCAAGTACTGTGTTTAGCAAATTTCTGTTGCTAAGGAATAGTAAATACAAATTATAAACGTGATTACTGCGTCTTATAAATACATTAATAATCATTGATTTATCACAAAATATCATTTCTGCTTTAATTAAGCATAGCTTGTCTTCGGTCACTAAACAATTGATAAATTGAATAACATTATCTTATAATCAATCAGTTAAGTAATACGATACGAAAGGAATTGTACTGTTTTTGTTAGATTCAAAACGAAATTACTTAAATCTCTTATATAAACAATAAACAATACAACATCAAACAATTTAATATCACCTACGCTGAATTCTCTTTCTGACGATAATTATAAATCATTAAAAATACAGTAGGTAACTTTTTTATAATAGAAATGTAGGTGGATACTTCTAAAACAATTCGCAAAATGTTTTATACTGAGTCATAATGAAATTAGGCCGCGTTGTTTTATCAGGAAGAGAAAACTTCGTGTTTAAAATTCCCAAGTATTTTTTTTCTTGTTATTTGCACAATTTGCTACATAATAACGAAATGCGATTTCGAAAAGGTGCTTTATGAAACAATATTGTATAATGTAACATAAAAACTATAATAATTAAATAAGAATTTGCAGTGTATTTATTTTAATAATATTAATATCGTGGAAGTTTTTGAACATGGATGAATGGATGGATGGATGTTGGGTACTTTGACACACAAATACTGAATGTATTTTAATGAAACTTTGCAATAATATAGCTTCAGAATAAGACATAGGAATATAGAAATATCTTGAATGTTTAGCGTATTATAAACTAGCCTAAATTGTTTAGAACATAGAGGAAAATAAATATTAGAAAAATAAGTATTATAAGAAAGTATATAATATGAACATGAATGAATGGAAACGGAGAGGATGACCAAAGTAAAGATGAATGGATTGTGTGAAAGATGATATGAATAAAAGGAGAATATACTCAGATATGACGGCCGATAGGGATCAGTAGAAAAGGATGAAATACTGCGCCGACCCAAATAATGGGATAAAGGCAAGGCAATGATGATAACCATTATATTATACAATACTAGCTGTGCCAGCGGTTTCACCCGCTTAAAATTTATGGCCTATATGTTATTTTGATGTATAAATTATATTACTGTAAAGTTTTATCAAAATCCGTTTAGTAGTTATAATATTAACAAGATATATGCATACTCTTATTAAATACATTATTTGAACTGGTACTTAATTTTTAATATTTAACGCCTTCACCATGTATTTTTAGTGAAATATAACCTTACATATAATCATATCTGAAAAATACTTCCCCTAAAAATATTTCTATATCTAATAATTATTTCCATGTGGGCCCCACTCGCGTGTATAGACGTAGTTTACCTACAAATCGTACAGTAGCACAATAATGCGTTTGATTCTAATAATGTCATGTATAATAACAATAAACACGATGAACGGAAACCACCCTTACTTCGCGGCCATGTTGGGTGACGACTGGCTTGCTTTATGACGAACGTGGTGTAATGGAGATATTCAGTGAATATACAGCAACACATATAATTTAGTCTTCGTTACATCATATTAGGTACTCATCAAACGACTTTTTACTAAGCTAATCTCTGTGGTAGCTAACACAGATGACTGATTTTGATGTATCACTTTTTCATTGTTTCATTGTCGTATAAAGTTCGTTAAAAATAGTGCTATTTTCAATACATAACCAACGTTTCTTTTTTAATTTACTTCTTAATAGCGTTTGCCTATATGAACTCACTTTATAACATTTTCATCTGAATCATCGTCTGCTTTTTCCTTATCCCAATCATTTGGTATCATGTTTTTCTCTTCCTTCCCTGTTCGTAGTCATCTCGTTATATCCCTTTCTTGCCTATCATCTTTCACACAATATATATGTATATCTCTTTTTCAGCCTTCTTCTGCCCACTATCTACATTTATATGCAATATTTTCTAAAATTTTCTCTTCATTCCTATACATTACGCTGACGGTCGCGGTGGTCTATTGGTCTTCCGATGATATCGCGGGTTTGATTCCTCGTGCGGTACAAACATTTATATTAATGAGTATGATTCTTGTAACTGTCTAGGTGTTTTCTATGGATGTATTTACAAAAAAATCTGACTATTTATATCAGTTGTATCACATCTATCTAGTATCACACTAGCTCTGCTTACCGCTAAATGACGCTGTGTTAATTGTCCAAGGTTATTTATTTATGTATTACATACCCATACCATGGGTTTTGTATCATCTGAATACAATACTAAACAGTTGCTTTGTTCTCAGCTAAAATCGAGGAAACGTAATCATCGCAGCCTGTTCCCTAAAACTGAATACTCTCAACTGACCACAATAGATGAGGATCTTGTGACATTGACCTCGTCAACTACAGCATTAAGGAGTGAAATCGAATGTCCCATACAAACTATAAGTGAAGTGGAGGAACCAACATAGTAAAAGGTTAAATCTATTGTAGGTTAAATTTAACCAGCAGACTGATAACTAGACGTTTGGATATACAATTTATTATGTATATATTAATTATTGGATTATATTATATTGTTTATTTAATTGTTTTTTTTATAGCCAGTCATTAATTAAAATATAAAATGAAACTAAAAATTAATGTATGACATTTTGGTCTCAAAGGCAAGTAAATTTTTTATACTATTTTTAACAATACCGTTTTGGCTACAGTTTCTGTTGGAAAGAACTGGCAATAAACGCAAATGTTCTGTTTCAAGTCAATCCATACACATATTATAAATGAGAAAGAGTGTTTGTCTGTCTGTTTATTATTTTTTCACTAAATGACTGAAATTATTTTAATGAAATTTTACATGAAGATAGATCAAAATAATAAACGAAGTCACGGGTACAGATAATATCTCATAACGAGAAAACTGGAGGGCATTATACTAAATATACTTATTAATAATAAACATACACATACATATGTATTACATATGTACTCATGTGTATATATATTATATCTATTAATGATCTATTAAATATACACATTTACATATGTACTGATGTGTATATGTGTACTTGAACTACTACCCTATTTCCCTAGCATGTTTGAAGTATTCCCACCATTACATGCGACAAGTCCCGAACTTGTGACGCTTTTGAACGTAACAAAAGGAATTCAGCAAGCTAGTTTCCAATTCAAATATGAGTTGGCGCACCCCTATGTTTACGGAATTGTCTTGTTACGGCAACAGATTTTAGTTAAATTCTGCTATCTTCCTTCACAGTATTATAAGATAATATTGTTTGGTATAGCTGCGTGACTTATATAGAGAACTAGCTGTTTACCGAAGCTTTGCCCGTAATTTGTTGTTTGTATTGAAGTAAAACTTTACATTTTTAATATTTTTATTATTACGTGTGTTAATATGTATTATAAAGTAATAAAAAAAAAAACAAATTAGGTTTTACTCAGTGAAAAATTAAATTCATACTGAAAATATTTAAATCCAATTTAAATCTTGTTAAACCTACTGAATATTAATATTGCTAAAATGAAACAAGAAACTGTAAATTCATATTTCATAAAATATTTTTATCAAATTATAAATATTGATTAGTTATAAACTGAAATAATGTAAAAAAAGTGTTATTACTTTTTATTACTGATCGTGTAATAAATTGTTTTATTATATGTCAAAAATATATGAGATCACCGAATTTAATAGGCAGTTAAGTTAATTAAATATCTTTCGTTGCCCAACTGTAGTTAATATAAATATAATTGTATACATCTTAAAAATGTAACTAAAATATATTAAGCATTTCTTTATTAATAATAAAATAAATTCTACGTATCATTTGTGTATTAAATTTATTATTAAAATTACTATTAATTTTGGTGTTTGCATTTAAAAAACAGTGTTAGTGTGGGCTCACATTATCAAGTCGAGGAAATCATTCAATTGGCGTATTGGTCCCTACGCCCCTCCCTCTTTGCAAATTCGTCAATTGACGGCGTGTTCGGCATGGACCGTCAGATTTAACGTTAATAATGTGAGCCCACTCTTATTGTAGTGAATGGACCAGGCGTTTATACGGGACCCACTGACTCTTGCTTGTTATATAAACTCGTCTAATAAATGTTTATGTTAATTAGTGTTAATATTTACATATCTAAATTTATTTCTGGAGTTGGAAATTGTTGATCTCTTCAATTGAGTCGATACAAAAGTGATGTATGTAGTTATTAATCAATTATAACAATTAAGAATGTCATTTTGTATATATGTATATAGTCGACAGGTCTGTAAATATATCGATGGTTTTTATGACGGGTATTTTAATTGTTTTATTTTTTTACCTATGAAATACTTATACAAACTGTGTTTTATCATAATTAAATGTATCTAAATTGCGAATGAACCTCTTTAGTGTTCTTCTCACAGAAAATCAGTTACATACACAATTATGTATAAAATGATAAAAAAAAAACTGTATTTTTTATCATTTTATACATAATTGTATGTAAAATATGTAAAGAGTAAGAGTAAGTTTGTAATTGTTGTATGTACTCAAATATATTGAACTGATTAAAAAAACATTCATGTACAGAAAGTTTTTGTTACGTATTTTGTCAATTAACGATAACATAATGTCTGTCCGCACTAACGGTATAAGGTACCAGTGCTGAGTGATAATATGCTCAAGAAGTCAAGTCAGTCAGTCATAAACTGATCAACTAGGTAGTAGGCAATTTGCATTTTACTAGAAAGGTTTAGTCTCACACAATAATATTACATAATCACCTTTCAGGTATGGTATTTCTGAACCCTTAAGGTTATGAAACAGTAAGTAACAAGAAAAGATCTTATTCCTCCTTAAAAGGCGATCATTTTCCCTGAAATTATCCTGGTGTTGTAGATATCCATATGCAGCGGTAATAACTATCCCCTATGCTAAAATAAAAACGGTGGACCAAGGTTATTTACTTTACCAATTGTGTAATTAAAAACCATTCTAGGAGTAGAGTGAATCTCTACTCACTCTAAATCTAAGCCCATGACAAACCCTATGAGTCTCTACTCATAGGGTTTGTCATGGGCTTAGATTTCTAAAGGGCAGGCAATGCAGCTCTTTAGAAATCCAAGCTCATGACACCCCTCATGTGTCAGGGTTGCATAAGCTACAGTACTATCAGATGGACCATATGCTTGTTAGCCATCATGGCAGTAAACAAAAAAACTCTCAGGCATTGTAAATTTGAATAAAAGAAATGGAACTCATTTATTTCGCCATTTAGTTTTATCCATAGTTACATAAAAAGATACAGAGAGCTCATCGCACCGTATCTCACCCACCGTACTACCACGTACGTACCACGTAGGAGAAATGATTTTACTGGCTAAAAGGTAGATTATTCCATTACAGGCTAAGTTATGTTAATATAAATAAAATTATAAAGTTATGAGCACCCGGGAAAAACCGGGGTGGGCTACTATACATTGCATTATTATTATTATTACTATACATGGCTGCAATACATTGCTGTACTACTAGTGAGTAGTACAGCAATGTATTGCATACGACAAAGTTATCGCTCTTTACGAGTATATGACGTAATTGGAAATGACCTAAATTGACAGCTAAAGTTTGTGGAATCCAAATTCTGGCGAAGCGTAAAATTTGTCTAAGTTAGACACTTATATAATTAGGATATACTTGGACAAATTTTACCACTATTGTATAATACAATACCACTACAATACCACTATTGTATAATACAATAGTGGTAAAATTTGTCCAAGTATATCCTAATTATATAAGTGTCTAACTTAGACAAATTTTATATATAATATCTAAGACTTTCGAATTTGGTATAGAGTATGTAATAAAATAAATATATTTTTATTACTGTTATCCCAGATGGGATAGTCAGAGGCAATATTTACTTATTTATTTATTACCTGCTCTCGGTGATTATTAACAATGCACTCAGCAAGGAATAAACGTACGCAATACATTAATAATAATTATCAGAATATCAACTGTCGACATCATGGTGAACGCAGCATTTATAAGTGCTGCAGATCAGATCCAGCTGTATTGGAATATAACCGCCAAGTTTCGGAATCCTTTAGCTTGTTGCCTGAAAGTAAAAAAAATAAATTGACTCGCAATATTTTTTGACGTCGGCCTGATTCGAAATCATTTCAGTCTAATTTGGTGTAGTTAATCACTAGGCTCCATGTAACATTACTTGTACTGTGTGTTTAAGGTGTGGTGCGCCTACGCTATTGGCATACGTTGGTAAGTTGCTAGTGGTGTATGAGGTCAGGTCAGATAGTCTCACACATAGGTCACATAGTGAACTCACCGTGGCGAATTTACAAGGAATTGACCACGATTGTCTCCAGGAGAGATCACATGGCAATCGACGTAATGTTTTTATTTTAAAAGACGATGATACGTGTGAAGGTGCGCTGCTTTCGTTCTTTGCCCGCCTCACCTTTCTTTCTCATTAATTCATCGTGGAAAATTCACCAGGAATTTATAATATTGGTTGAACTAGGGAAAACTACCTACGTGGAGGTCACCTACATGGTACTTTACTAGCAGTTGGGTGAGCAGTCCACATTACTGACGATCACATCACCCACGACTTACCGTTAATATATAGTATATATATATGTATAAAACATGTGTTTCTAACCACATTAAACTTACAAAAGGTAAATTATTATAAGTGTATTTTAATATAAGCAAAAGTTAAAGTATAATTATTACAGAAATAGAGGTATGACATATTAGTCCTCCGAATGTAATCAACGTACAACAAGACGTAGAGAGCGGCTCCATCCCTGCACTATTGACATCCCAGCTGCTCGAACTAATCGTTTTGCATTATCTTTCCTTATGCGAGCAGCTAAGAAGTGGAACTCTCTACCAGCGTCTATTTTTCCTGCCTCTTACAACATTGGGTCATTCAAGTCAAGAGTGAATAGGCATTATTTGAGCTTGTGTGTAACAGCTTCGACCACATCATCACTTAACATCAGGTGAGGTTGTGGTCAAACGCGCTCAATATTTGATATAAAAAAAAATGGCAATGCATGAGTGGTGTTACGGGCATCACATATCACATGAAACGTGCTGTCCTTAGTAGTGTACATGTATATAAGGCGACGCCTACCACTTACCATCAGGCGAGCTGTCCGCTAGCCGCTTGCCATTTTAAACTTTATATATGTACAACAAAGTCGGTGCCGCTGTCTTTTAGCTTATATCTTTTATATTACGCAACGGATTTTAATGCAGCTTTCAGCAACAGATAGAGTAATTTATGAGCAAGATTTATATGTTAATGTTATAATGCATGCGTGTCATAGTATAGAACAAGCTGAGAAATTTTCTGCTCAGCTGGGGAGGGTTACATATAAAAAAACTTGATCTGACTAATTTTAAGTATAATTACTTATATCCAAAACTAACATGGCAGATGCGATACCATCCAATATAAATACTGTAATACAGAACTATTAATTAAGACAAGTAATATTTCAGGAAAATATTAGTATAAGCCAAAAAGCTGATTATAGCATATTTTCCGTCGCTCATCAGTGGAACAATAAAAATATCTCATTATTAATTACAGCATTCTGGATGAATAACGACCGGTTCTCACAAAGTAATCACATACAATTTATAGTCAGAGAGACGGCGACAAATATTTGATAATTACAAACATAATAATTCATAATCTAGCTAGTTTATGATTATGAGTGGATATGGTTCTTTTTTATTGAAACATTTATAAATAAATAATATGCCACTTTATACACCATAATTGGTCTCTTAATAAAGCAAAAGGTCTTTTAATCAAGAGAGTTTTATAACATTGTAAATTATATCATTAACAAAGTTACAGTTTAAAAAAATATCCAGAAGTTTCTCTTGTAATGGTGTCATTTTTCTTTTC